TGACATGATGGCATCACACAGTTGCCGCAGATTTGTCGGCTGCACATCCATGATGCGAATCTCCCGTTCCACCACATCCCAAAGATGCTCTATTGGATTGAGATCTGGTGACTGTGGAGGCCATTTGAGTACAGTGAACTCATTGTCATGTTCAAGAAACCAGTCTGAGATGATTCCAGCTTTATGACATGGCGCATTATCCTGCTGAAAGTAGCCATCAGAAGTTGGGTACATTGTGGTCATAAAGGGATGGACATGGTCAGCAACAATACTCAGGTAGGCTGTGGCGTTGCAACGATGCTCAATTGGTACCAAGGGGCCCAAAGAGTGCCAAGAAAATATTCCCCACACCATGACACCACCACCACCAGCCTGAACCGTTGATACAAGGCAGGATGGATCCATGCTTTCATGTTGTAGACGCCAAATTCTGACCCTACCATCCGAATGTCGCAGCAGAAATCGAGACTCATCAGACCAGGCAACGTTTTTCCAATCTTCTATTGTCCAATTTCCATGAGCTTGTGCAAATTGTAGCCTCAGTTTCCTGTTCTTAGCTGAAAGGAGTGGCACCCGGTGTGGTCTGCTGCTGCTGTAGCCCATCTGCCTCAAAGTTCCACGTACTGTGCGTTCACAGATGCTCTTCTGCCCACCTTGGTTGTAACGGGTGGTTATTTGAGTCACTGTTGCCCTTCTATCAGCTCCAACCAGTCTGGCCATTCTCCTCTGACCTCTGGCATCAACAAGGCATTTCCGCCCACAGAACTGCCGCTCACTGGATGTTTTTTCTTTTTCGGACCATTCTCTCTAAACCCTAGAGATGGTTGTGCGTGAAAATCCCAGTAGATCAGCAGTTTCTGAAATACTCAGACCAGCCCTTCTGGCACCAACAATCATGCCACGTTCAAAGTCACTCAAATCACCTTTCTTCCCCATACTGATGCTCGCTTTGAACTGCAGGAGATTGTCTTGACCATGTCTACATGCCTAAATGCACTGAGTTGCCGCCATGTGATTGGATGCTTAGAAATTAAGTGTTAACGAGCAGCTGGACAGGTGTACCTAATAAAGTAGCCGGTGAGTGTAGAACTCACCTCAGTGTTTCTACTGCATTTTGCACCATATCAATTTATTTTTGCATTGCTAGGAACCTTCCGCATCAATGCTTTTTGCACCATGTCTCTCCCACACTGCTGCACTTTATAAATGGAAATGTTCATCTTCACTGCTAAGCTGCTGCTCAGTCACTGTCAGTAAGTTTTATGTAAACGAAATTTTGTTTTGTAAACAGTCTAAGTCTGGGGTCAACAAAAAGGCTCAATCAATAAGGACACTTCAGCCATGATCATTGCTATATAAATATTGTATATGATCGTTAGGAAGGAGTAAGGACCGGGGAAGTTCCTAGCGTCTATTCAGATCATCATAGGGAACTCTTCTTGGTCCCCAGCTGCTAGGAACTAAGGTTGCCCATAATCCTTTGCTTTACAGACAGCCAACCTGATCGAGTTTAACAAAAATACCTTTTTTCTTTACATGTACTGTGTCCGACACACACTAATAGCCTCACCTTCACATGTTTTGGTGTTTTTTTTAAACAGAGTTTCATTTGAGTAACTTTTGTAGTTCTTTTCCAGAGCCATGTAGTCCCAATTCGAGCATCATTGTTAATGATAACAGCTGCAAGAATAAAGGCTTTAAGGATTCAGCAGAGGAGTCTGAGGCTCCTTTTCCATCGTAGATAGACTTCTGTTGAACTTATGAAAGGAGCAAGGAACAGGAGGTAGAAGCTACAACTGGACCGGGGCAAAAACTCGGCAAAGAAGGGACCTCCATATAGCTGTGCTGAATTCATACAGCCTTTAGTTTTAAAGACCTTTAGAACTACTAGTACCAAAAAAAGTTAAACGGTTTAAGATCTCAATGTGTAATCCAAAGCAAAGGTGTGGAGAGAAAGTCTTGATGTGTAAACGCAGAGCTTTCCTTTAACAGGATAAAATAATGCGTTTTTGTTCAACTCTGAGGTGGGCCGTGTGTATACATCTTTACCATTCTAACCGCACTCATCATAGTGACAGCTAACACTTCTGTTTTTACCTAAAATATTCTTTATGATTTGCTTTATTCAGAAACACTCAAATAATTAATGTAATCAGTTGCATTTCCTTAGAAATGTTAACCAATCTGTCAGGGTGATTTAAGTCCTGTATAAATAAAACTATGAAATATGAACATTTATTTCAATAACTTCCATTATCTTTGTTGAATGCGATATTTTGTAAAACTATTTACATTTGTGTTCTCCATCCCTTGAGTCTAGCATTTTTATCCAGCCTACCGCTCTTCCATATCCTCCTGCACAAAGCAGTACCTGCTTGAATATTTCCTTTTTTAATCTTTAGACGGAGCAACAATCTCCCATGTTTTAATAGGATTTTATGAGACAGAATCACAAAGTAGTGAATAATACTGAAGTTGAAGGAAACCGATCATATTTCTGGCATCAGTTAGATATATTCTGTCCCCATACCCTGATCCTCCAACATATAATCTAGTTTAACTGGTTTCTTTCAGAAGCCACTTGATTCCACCTGTGATCTAATTAATCCAGGTATAAAGGCCTGGACTAGTGATGCACGATATAATCGGCCCCCTATCGGTATCGGCCTTAAAACTGAATATCGGACATCGGCCACCCCACCGATATTTAACCCGATATTTGATCAGCTTCTGAGTTTCTAAAGTCTAAAAAAAATAAATAAAAACTACTTCTTCTTCTTCCTCAAAAACTTCCTTTTTTACAGACTTAAAAACTTCTAAAGACGAGGGAAAAAATATTGATACATTAAAATATCCCAATATCTTCATATGCTGATATATTGCCATTTAAAAACACCATATCAATCTCTTTTACTAATGAAATATTGCTATATGTCATCGTTATGCTACGAAATCCCCCGAAAATTCACCAAATGTTGCCATATTTTTATATGTTGATATATTGACGCGGTATCGATCTATTTTACTAACAAAATCTCACAAGAATTTGCAAAATATCACGAGAGTTTGTAACAGAACGATGAAATTTCACCAGATTTTGAAACTAAAATAGATGGATACCGCGTTTTTAAAAATCTATTTGATATCAGCATATGAAAATATATTTGAGTATATTATTTTTCAAAGTGTCAGAAATGGATAACAAAACTGCTATTTTCAATGACTACTTATTTTTGTCCAGCTTTAACATCGGTATCGATATCGGTTATCGGCTACATGAGTTTTAAAATATCGGCATATCGGATATCGCCAAAATTCCAATATCGTGCATCCCTAGCCTGGACAGAAAAAAAAACGGCTAAGCCCATTACTCTGCAAAGAATAATGGGTCAACATCTCATGATTTATGCAAATCTACAAATGATTTCAGTCTTGCTCTTCAGGACCAAATCTTCTTAGTGTTTCTACAGTCTCTGCTCCTGTGCATTTAAATCAGATTATGGAATCCCCTGCAGGGCTGAGAGACAACCCACTATAGACGCAGGGCGCTGCCATTTTTACAATGCGTACTGGAAAAAGGTCAATTCAAATATTAAAACTCTATTAAATCATTTAATTTAAAAGGCTGAAGACAAATTAGTTTAATCTATACTCTAAAGCTTTTTCTTTTAAGCATAAATGACCCCTTACTGCTGTTGCCTCCTTGCCCAGTCTGAACCTGGGGTCTTGTCTGGTGTGGTAGATCTGGGCTTTTAGTGCTCTGGTGCTTAGAGGTCTGGTCCTGTGCAGCCATGATGACTGCCTCTGTGCCGTCCTTCAGTCCGGCTTTGTCTAGCCATTGGTAGGATTTCCTGATATCCGCCAATTCGGTTACGTTTCGGTCGAACATCCCGTGTTGGACCTCCAGCATCTTATGTTTCCCATTATCTGAGACATTCACTGAGCACGTTGTCTGTTGGATCCTTGATATACTTATGGATCTTGGATGTTTCATCTTGGATAGTGGCTCTTACGCTCACTAGTCCTCGGCCTCCTTCCTTACAGCTAGCATACGGTCTCAGGGTGCTGGATTTGGGGTGGTAATCCCGTTCATGGTTACGAGCTTTCGTGCCTTAACATCTGTGGCCTGTCTCTCATCCATTGGCCAGATTATTATTCCTGCAGGGTATCTGATTACTCTTACAGCATAGCTATTCATTGCACAAGACTTGGTCTTGCCATTGACCTGCCTTACTCTGAGGTATTTGGCCATAGCTGCTTTCCTTCAAGGTTGCCTTTTGCTCGTGGGATTCTGAGGTACTTGTAACTGTTGTCAATGTCTGCTATATAAATATATATATATAGCTATACATATATATATGGTTTTGTTTTACCCCGACTTTTTACACACACTTGATGCACAATGATGCACGTTCTTGTGCATCTCCCCTTTACTAGAGGTTATGTGAGGTGAATTTCTCTGTTGTGAGATCACCAGAGTCACATCTTATTTTATTCCATTGGTAGATTTTACTTACCTACTCAAATGAGGGGAGAATATTAAATATAATCTGTATATTTTAGATGAGTTTTTACAGTTAAATGTGCACCTCCAGTCCATCTCATAATGTCCAATAAGGTTTTTTGGTTATACAATGCAAATGGGAGATGGAAGATTGGAATACGTTCAGACCTCTTGGTGTAAGTTGGCTTAATGTATGGCTGAATAATCGGATTGTTAAGTGTTTTGTTTACCCTGAGCTGCAGCGATGGTGGCAGCTCTGCCCCCTCCCCTCTACAGGCAGGTATAATGAACGATGCGTTTCAACAGCCATCAGATGGAATGATTTATTCATAATAGCATAATAAAACGATGAACATTGAAAGCACTGACAGCTGAACCCAAGGCCTCTCACACACACAGCATGCACCATCCCGACCCCAGAGTTCAGGGACGCCGAGCATCACTTCCTGGTTCTCAGAGTCCTCCCTCCCTCCCGGCCAGTTCAGTTCTCTCCTTGTTCTTTTTCTTTTAAACCTTTAAATATATTTGATATAAAAACGAGCCCACGTATGATGAATCATGTGAAGTGCCTCTTCTGCCCCGCTCTTCTCCCGTTAGCACCCTAATGCCACGCCTCAGAATGAAGATGACGCCTCTTCCTGTTCATGAGCTCTTCTTAGGGGGTGGGGGAAGCGAAACTGAACCGAAATAATGGAGGGGGGTGGGCGGTAATAAAAAAAATGGTTTAATGACCTCCCTGAAAAAAAAAATAAAATAATGAAAATGATAAAAAAAATGAGACCCCAACAGCAAAAAGAAAAGAGATGTTGGGGGGAAGTGGAGCTCTGTATACTGGAGGCACTTTGGCACAGAGCGAAGCCCCCCCTCTGTGGAATGACAGAGTTGGGCTGAAAGGCGTGCAGAGCCATGTGCTGTTACACAGATCCTGGAATGATTAAAAAAAACAAATCAAGGAGTGAAGAAGAGAGCACCTGACAAACATGGAGGACGAGGCCAGCCCCTCCTCCAGTCTATGTCACGTTTTGGGGGGGGGAGTGGATAAGAAAAGAAAAGGCTTGGTGCCGGTGGATGAGGAAGAGCAGCTCGGGCCGGGTTAGAGAGCGAGGGAACGGCGGCGGGTAAAAGGCGGAGGAAGAAGAGGTGTGATGAAGCTGCTCGGCAAAGCTATACAACACGAACAGAACGGTCCTGGTGAGGAAGCAGTGAGGAGGGGGGAGCGCTTTGGCAGTCCCATGGTTTGGCAAACAGAAGGGAGGTGCTGTGGTCCTCCTCCTCCTCCTCCTGTGCAGGGCTACTCCCTGTCCCCCCCCCTCAGCCTCCGTTTACAGGTAGAGCTCCTTGGCTCTGATATGCTGCAGTTTTTCCCTCAGCATGCGGAAGGAGGGCCGCATGGCGGGGTCCAGGGTCCAGCACTGCTTCATCAGGTCATACACCACAGGGGGGCAGCCGTCCGGGGCGTCCATCTTGTATCCTTTCTCCACCCGTGGCACCACGTCTTTAAGCGGCTGGGGAGACAGACGGAGCCACGTTAGAGCACCGTTTATGAGTGATTTACTTCAAAGCTACAAACTATGGAGTGGAATTTGTTCCATTATTGTTTTAGAAGCAAGAACACATTTTGTAAGAAATACATCCAAAAGGTAAAAAAAAAAAAGGGGAAAGGTTTTGAGGGGAACTTTGCTTTAGGGGTGACGGATATATCGAACAGACTCGTATCTCGACTTTCCCCACACACACAATAGTTAAAATGATACTGTCCCAACCATCGAGTCCAATTTCTAACCCTAACCTTATCTGATTTTTTCTTTTTTGATTTTATATACTCTAATAATCCCGGGGGGGAATTACTTCTCTGCATTTAACCCATCCCCTTGGGGAGCAGTGGGCATGCCATTGTGAGGCGCCCGGGGAGCAGTGTGAGGTTAAGGGTCTTGCTCAGGGACAAAGTGTGGCAGTCTGTGGGAGTGGGGGATCGAACTCACAATCTCAGGATACAAAGCCCTATGCCCTAACCCAACACTTCCCCTTATCTATTTACCTAAGAGTTTAATTTTTCCCACACACTTTGAATGCATCATTAACCCCTCCTACATAGAATATAACTTTGTTTTTTTTGTTTTTTTTACGCACACTACAGCAACCGCCAAAGAAATATAGCAACAGCAGGTGTTTCAGCTGAACAATATATGATAGAGGTTTGGATTTCACACCGAGGGCTGCAAAAGGTAGCCGTATAAATGTATTCCACCACCTAAAAAGTTACCCACTGCAAAATCATGTAAACTCTGCATGTCAGCATCTCCCCCCACACCAAATAAAACACTAAATAAATCAGCTGTGAAGACGATGACGTCGTTTGAAAAAGCGATCTCTTATGAAAGGAAAAGGAAGATATGGAGGGAAATCACAGACGTTATATGTTTTGTTATTGTAAATGTTTTAGATGCTCTAATACCTGTGATGTGATTTTTTTTTTTTAGAGGTTTTGCAGCTATTCTCTAAACTTGGCCATGTTCTACATTTTAAGACTTTTTTTGTGCTTCTTTAAAATTCTCAGCATGTTAAAATCAATCCTAGTTTTGAGATGCTCTAATAATGCTCTAATTTTTGGACAGTATTTCCACTTTTGTTTTTGTAATTTTAGGTCAATTTTTTTATTCTGCATTTTCTTTTTTAATTACGCACAAAAGAGGCCTTTTATATTTAACATTTTATTTAGTCTTGTGTGTTTTTGCTTTGTTTCCTGTTTGGCTGCTTGGATCCTGTTAAAGGTCTAATACCGACACCCAAAGACGTCTTGTGGCAGGAAACCTTTGAGCTGGTTAAAATAAATAAATAAATCCATCCATCTTCCGTCACACTTATCCTAAGTGGGGTGGCAAGGCTTAGTGGTTAGGGGTGGAACGGTTCACATATTCCACGGTTTGGTTCACGGTTCGTGGCCACGGTTTTCAGTTCGGTATACGTTGATTGTTAGCATGACATGTTGGTCGTGTTGCTGTTAGCATAAACAAAACATGTTGCGCAATGCTTGCACACTGTTGCACTTTTATCCACAACTTTCTTCCCGCCGTCATCGTAGGTCACTCTAAATGCAAAGTGGTCCCATACAGCAGACCTATAAAGTGCTGCTGGCGCGTCTTCCAACTCCCCATACCCACACAATTCTCCACAGCTGATTTTTTTCTGCTACACCCGGCTACGCTGCTTCGCTTCTTCTTCTT